TGCTGTGATCTCTCAAAGTGTCAGAAGTGCACAGGGAGACTCCTCACACAGGGAATGCTTTAGGGCTTGTAACTGCTGTGCTGTGGCATCCTGCCAGCCTCTGGATGGGCACCATTCAGTCTAGGCTTGAGAGAGCTGGTGTGAGTGAGGTGCAGAGGGGGAAGGTGGCAATATGGTCTACTAAGACTCCAGGGATCCCAGTCTCCACTTGAAAGGAACGAACTGAAAGTCAGACATTTTGGACTAGAGAGAGAAAAGCACCCTAGTACATTCAGTTAAGAAAAACATGCAAGAATCTTTACCTTTAAGCTATGCCCCGCCTGGGTTTTTCACCAGTTTGCAATATGAATATGCTGCAGCTTAAAGCTCCTTCTAGGAGCTGTGTTTATGTAAAAACTGAGTTGAGCTTGTAATGGTTAAAACTGTATTTAATTCTTGTTTTATAAATGAAAACAGAAAATGAAGAAATGCTTTAAGTATAATGTAATTATTTTATAGGTCAACTATTAAATTATAGATTAAATAATAAAGCTACTCTAGGGTTATATGGCATCCAGGTGTTTTGCTTCAACAGCTTGTGTCCAGCTGCTCTCTAATCAGTATATGCTCCATCTTCCTTTTCACCCTCCCAAATACAGGTGAATGATGGCTCACCCTGATAGCTTGGGAAAACCTAACTACTTCTCCTCTTGTCCCTAACAAAAGTACCTGCAAGACAGGTACCCCCCTCAAAAGTACCTGCAAGACAAGAAGGAAAAATGAAATGCACTAGTCTTAGATTCTGGAGTTGATTCTGCATGCACAAATTCTGGTTTTTTTGGTTAAATGACAAGACAAGCAAAGCTCCACCACTGGCTGAAACACCAGCATCATTTGTGGTAAGAGAAATAACTGTTACCCTGACCTAAGTGGTTTTGCTTAAAATATATATAGGTCCTTACATAACAGGCACCAAACTACTCATAAGGAAAAAAAAAAGGTATATCTTAAGATATAGATGAGCTTTAATGGTTGCTGTCAGCTCTTGAATAGGTACACTGTATGTCACTCCAAAGATAGGGTAGTGTTTTGGGTTTTTTTAATTTCCAACTGGAGAAAATGTAGTTTCTCAAAGGAAAATTTTTGTAATGAAAGGGAGTAGTCACATGGATGGATGAACCTCCATATGACCAGAAGAGATGCCTGTCATGGGTCTTGAAAGAAGCAAGAGCACCTAGACCATAACTAGCAAGGGAGGGCTATGTCCTTTATGGCACTTCTGACACCTGCAGAAGCCCTTTGCTCTTCTTCCTTGCCCATCTCTTGCCCAAATCCTCTCACAGTTCAGTGAATCAATGTGTTTGGAGTCTTTTTTTTTCGTAGCTGTTGCTTTTGAGAAATTAGTGGTTTGCTTTGTGTTAGCTACTAAAGTGTGGTCGGGGTGCCCTGCTCAGAACTTGAAAGTGCCTCTCTCAGTTGGCTTAAAGGGAGCTCAATAGTAATCTCATCTAATGCCCCTTTCTCATTTCCAGCTGTCTCTTGGCCAGTCTCCTGCTTTGCAGGTCGCTTCACTGCCCAGCATCCACCTGAACCTCTACTGTCTGAGGCACAGCCTAGACTCCAGCTCCAGTTTTTTAAAATTCTTGCTGCCTGACTGTTGAACCATCATGCCAGAGACATATGTTGTCATCCAAAAATCTCCCCCTTGTGGAAGCAATCTCAAGAGCAAGGCAAATCTCTCTGAGTAGATGAAAAAAGCCTTAGGTCAGTGGAGTTTTTTAAAGTGGAGTGCTGCTACAGGACAAGAGAAGGAGGAGGACAGTGAATGTTTAGCTCTACCACCATGGAACTGTCATGCTGGCAGGGCCCCAGTTTAGGGTGAGTGGCAAATGATGTTTTTAAGAGCTTAAATTTGAGCTGTCGTTGGGAAGCAGAGAAACGAGTGTTGACTCAATAGGGACCCTTTATCTTCAGAAATACATTAATTTTTTTAGGCAATGGACTTACCATTGGATGTTTTTACAAGTCAGTTGAATGAGTGTCAGGTACAGGTACAGCACAGATGGGTCTGTCATAAGCAAGAGAAAGACTTGGAAAACCTGTTCTGTAATGAGAATCATATTAGTGGGCGGCAGACCTAAATGGTGTGGGTCACAGTTTTCTCTCTCCTCCCTTTGCTGACCTCTTTGCACCATCTTCGGAAAAACTCAACTTCATCAGTTTTTGCTTACTCTTCCCATAGCAGTTTAAAATTGGTGTAACTCAAGTAACTAACAGATTTGTCACAAACTCAGCTTTCCTTTTAACCTAGAGTCTGCAAAAAATGCAAAGACTTGCTATATCTTCTCTCAATAAAAGTAATAATTGCTTCCAACTTTTTAAGCTGATCACTGAAAACTTGGGCGAGAAAAAAGGTCAGTCTGTGGAAGATGCCTCTAATTGTATTCCCGCTGCCACCGTTGGATAATACTTAACTAAGTTTTGGAAGTGTTTCGGGATGATGAAAGGTGTTACAAAAAAAGCTAACCACTACTGTGTCATGATGTGACAAAGTATCATGCTTCTGAAAGGCTTTAATTTGCAAGCAAAACAACTTGAATCCTCTTAGCTCCTCATAAAAAAACAGATTGTTATTGTCAGCAAGTCACACCTGCTGCTCAGGTATGAAAGTCCCTCTTTTGCTGCTGCATTTGTTTAAGTAACAGTGAGCAATATGTGGTGTTGGTGATCAACAAAAGCTCAGAATTTTGTCTGTGAGAACTCTTGTTGGATTACAGCCAACTCAAAGTGTAGTGTGGTTAATGTTGCAGTAAATGGGGAGATTGCGGTAAACATGGGGTATCCAACATCTTTAGAACACACTCAAACAGGCAAACAAAAGAATATTACTCCAGAATTCTGGAATGTGCATGTGTGTGCCACTAAAAAACGAAGAGTGGAAGTGAAACTTATGCTGGTGGTGTGCATTGGATATTCCGTGGGTCAACTGTGGTGCTGAACATAGTGGGCTACTTTGCATGGAAGCTTGAATAGGCTGGAGAGAAGCTATATAAAATTCAACCAAATAGATTGGGCCTGAGTAAAATGAAAGAGAAAAATCTATGTAGCAGCACGTGTTTTATGATCATAACATGATCCTATGAGCTGCAGTCAGCCTTTGACACTGTTCTTCAGAGATCGAGGTTTGCAAATATCTTCTAACATCTGTGCTGGAGATCCAGTGAAAAGTGTATGTATGTATGTATGTGACCATCCTACCAGGTCGCTGGATAACACACATATATAAAAAGGCATTATAATATGTGGATATAACTTTTCAATGCACATTTTTGCCCTAATAAAAATTTCTTGAGACTGTTACTTCGGCAGTGTTAGTAGGAACAGGTTACAAACCTGAGCCAAATGCACTACTGGATGGCATGCATAAGCCAGAGAAGTGAGTGTTGTATAGTCTGATTGAGTAAAGGACTGAAACTCTCACTACCACCACCTGGGGAAAAGGTAATATATCCACATAACTGGGAATTACTGTCACTATCCTTCCAAAAGACAAGGAAAGAGAAGCCCCATTTCCTCTGATCCCTTCACAAAAGTGTTTCCTTGATCACAGAAGCCTGAATGGGATGTGGTACTTAGGGAGCAAATGGTTTGTAGCAAACTACAGCATAGCTGGAGAGTCAAGAGAGAAGGCAGTTATTTCATTATTATTCCTTTTATTTTCATATAAATTAACATTCTAAAAAAATTGGAATAGAAACACTAAATACAGTATTGCACATAGTGATCTTTGTTAGACGATCTGTTATTTAATTTAGTATAGTAATATACATACTGTAGGTACTGAAGAGAACAGGAAGGCTACAAATGAAAACATGCTACTGTATCCTTGCACTTAGGAGCAAAGTTAGGAGGAAATAGACTATTGTTTACATAAATACAAACATGGATTTGAATCAGTGCCATTAAAATAGCTTTATTTTTTAAAGTTTCTTTTTCCATAAGTTAGTCATAACAGCAAATAATCTCTTATTTTCTCTTCCCCAAATAGTAATGTTACTCCCATCAAAACAAAATTTTAGAACTCCGTTCTTGGTAATTAATATCCCTGCCAGAAATTATCAGTAGTACAGAATTTCACATAGGTTTGTCAGCAACAGGAGACTTGCTTTTCACACAGTGAAAAAAACCATCTTTTCTAGTGCTTGGTATATGTGAAGAATAACAGATTCCTGAGGTCATATTTCGCACTTCCTTTTATGACACCCTGTAGGATATACTAGCCTCTGAACAGCTAGGAATGTCTCTTGACGTGCTAGATTAGACAGGGAATAACGCAACCCAGCAGGTTAGAGCTCATTTGCCTTACCCCAGTGTCTTTCAGGCTCCAAAGCTGTGAGCATGTGCATCCAATTGAGTTGCACACAGAGTCTACTTTTAGGAAAAATGCGCTTCGGAAGAAAAACTTTATCAATCAGACTGATCAGTTTGGGGCTCTTAAATTAGGACTGGAGGATGGGGTTGTTATCAGTTGAGCAGATCAAAATTGATAGTGACTTCTGGATTGCAAATAGGAATTAAATGCTTGGTCTAAAATGGAAGCCCTAAGTCGTAGAGTTCAATCATTAACCTCCTAGTCAGGGACACAAAGCCTGGAGGAAATGTCTGCAATTCTGCTAAGTGTGAAATTGATGTCAATTAGTTGGTAGTCTGTGTTCAGTCACTAGAATTGGCTACTGTTTTCCATAAATGTTGTCCCCATGTGCATCTTTTAATGGCTCACTAAAGGAGTTTTAAATTAACTGTAAAGCTAATTCCAGAAGGGAAGTCATGTACATGTGGCCAAAAGCCTGTCTGACTTAAGTGATCAGCAGTTAAAACTATACTATACCTTCTAAAGCTCATGTAAAAGTATTAGCTGCTTTATATATTAACAAACTATAATAGTCAAATCTCTCATACTCTCTATTATACTTCTGTGCTTTTCTGTATTTTTCTGGTTTTCACCTCTTTTTTCCTTTTTCTTTTTTTTTTTTAATGCTGGATTTCTGACCCCCATACCACCTGGCATTCACTATCTGGCAAAAGATGAAGTAAAAGTATGCTGCCTTATCGATTTTAAAGATAGTTACAGTAAACATCTTGTTCCACAAATATTTAGTCATGGAGGGCAACCAAACAAGTTGGGAAAGCATTGATTATACTGTATAAACAGCACTTAACGATTCAAAATACAAACTACAAATGCCAACATGAAACAGATACAAACAGTTCACTAGGAGTAACATTTCTTTCCCTAATCTAAGTGCAGTGCCATGAAGTATTTGTGTTAGATGTTGCCAGTAGGAATGGAAATGTTTTACTGTACCAAGTAGCATCCTTATGAAGTTCAACTTAATGCAATTTTCAGCATGTTCAGAACTGATGCAGATGCTGCTTTTTATGCATGCTGACTTGGCCTATTTGTAATATACCATACACTTTACAAAATATCATTTTTGAGTGGCAAAGGAGATACAGAGTACAGGGGAAGGTGTTTCAAGTCCATACCTAGTCTATTGCTGGGCACTCCATTAAAGTGATTACATTCGTGAATGAATGTACAATAACACATCAATTGGTGGAAAACTCTAGAGAACAAAAAGCAAATTTAAAAAGGTCAAGAAAGCAAATGATCAGGATGATGTAGTTTCCTTCCCTCTCACTCCCCACCCACGAGTATGTTGAGTTTTGGTAACCAGGTAACCATGGCTTTTGCTTTTCTTCTCTCAGATTTTCATACTTATCTTTGCTTTCTGAAAAATAAAATAAATTAAAAAAAAAAAAAGACGAATTGAGTGTACATAAAACCACCTCACACATACTTATGCTATTTAAAGCATAGAAATATATATCCTAATGATCAATTATAGTTACTGTAGAACTGCTTCACAAATAAACTTCCTTTGAAGAAGGAACTGAAGTAGACTACAGCTATACACTTCTTGTGAAATATTTTTGTTTACTTTCCTTTTCACTCATCAAATTTTTCTAATACTGAAAGTCCTTGTTTCAGTGCAAATAATGATACAGGAATAATTAAGCAAATAGTTATTTCTTAAAAGAAAAAATATCAGTGTCTTTATATGCTGCAAGATATAAGTTAGATGGAGAAATTCAAAATAATGTTAACTTTTGGGTTTGTTTTTTTTTTTAAACATCTTGATCTGTTTTATAATCAAATTGATTAAATGTAGTTTATCATTCCTTACCAAGCTAGTACTCCATTTACATTTCTTGCGGCACTAACCACAGCCAACTTTCACTAAACATTCAGAATAAGTAACAATAAATGCAATATTATTTATTCCTGTGTCAGATTATATTAGTTAGAATGCAGCATATTACCACATGCTTCATTTCCAAGATGTATCACAGTAATATAGCCATGACTACAAAGCACAAAAGAATTAAGTCATGTCTCGTGGTGGGAAGGAAGGGTGTGGACAGGGACACAGACACATGAAAAAATCTTCTAATATTTTATAAATATAAATGATGGCCAAATGCTACAGGTATCATTTAAATGTGAGGTGCAAGATTAATTTTTCACTAGAGGAATATTACTTTTCGGTAAAATCAACCATGATCCTAGCAACACTTAGGCAATCACAGGGGAAAGGTTTCCTTGAATGACCAGAATTACTCCTCTCGTATCACTGAAGTTATTTGTTTTCAGACGAATGGTGAAAGCACAGTATTATCTTTTTCTAGGGTTTCTATTCCAAACAAATCCCTGTCAATGGAACAGAAGCCACTAGTATTTGATACAGTGATCCAGCTTGAAAAATGTGTACCTATCAAAATTCTTCCTTACATGTTGTAACTGTAGAAAAGAGAGAGAATACAGACTGAATGAGCTTGGACTGGAATTGCCTTTCTGCCTTTTAGGTGCATCCCACACCAAGACTGGGAAGAAGACAGATTGGCAGGGCGGGGCAACAGTATGTTGATCTTGCTTGTGCTGCATCTATTTTGTGGAGTAATATTCACAAGCAGATGTCAAGTTTGTTAATCTAGCTCCTTTAATCAAAATGTTAAAATTAAAACAACAACAAAACCCCAAACCAAAAACCAACCCAGAACAAAAACATACATCAAGAATAACATACTTATAAAATGCGAAGAGCAAACAGTAGAAAAAGTAATGGGAACAGAAGCATTGCTACAATTTTTACTTACAATTCCAGAATCATGTTTTGGTCTTATGTTGTATAGTGACTTCCCCTTTTTCTGCCTGCAGACTTCCTCTGCTTCTTTAACCCTGAAGAGAGACAAAATATATAAATATTCCCATAGACCAACAACATTTCTGAAGACAATGCATTATAGAACTTACAAATTTAGGCCTGAGGACTTAAGTGGACAACTGTGTTCTCCATATATTCATTATCACGCTCCACAAAATAGTACTTGCACTCTAGGGCTGTTGTGGCCATACCTGACATTTACAAGGACAGGCATAATCAAATGCCTAATCAATTCTAGTTACAAAAGCAATCAGTACTTACTGCAGTTGAAGATTCAAATGTATGAGGGTTTTAAACACACTGGGTCACATGGAGTTTACATTTCAGAGCATTCATGCAAACATTGCTAAGAAAACTTCTTTTTATCACTGTTTAAAATAATTCTTCATCCATTCCCAACTCAGTACTTCAACTACAGTTTAAACAAAGTTTCTCACCAAGCTATCTTTCCTTCCACTCATTTTTGTTTGGATTTAAAATGGTGAAATAAAGGTGGTGTGAGTCACTGCACATGTGTCTTTCATTCCAAAGCTGAGGAGCAGGTTCCCGAAGTAAGGGTCCACTTCTTAGTTCTTCCTGACTTGGCAAACACTACCAAATTAGGACCTTGTGAAATCCCACCACATTCTTGATAAGAGAAATGTCCTTTTTTGCCATGCAGATAGGAAATAAACTGTGAAAGGCAGAGGACTATACTCAGACTGGGAGCCTGCCAGAATAATTTGATGGGTTGAATGTCACACCGTAAAATATTTCTTTACCACTTTCACTGGTTTTGTAGATCAACCTTGTAAACACACACGGTTACTGAAACACTGATAATACAGATTTAACTTATAGACTCTGAGCTCCTAAGACTTACATAAACACTTTCCATAAGATGACATTAAATCATGTGAGATCTGTATTAATTTATTTATATATAAATCCTATATTGGCTTGCTCTTGCCAAAAATATAGGCTTTAGATGGCATGTACTCTGCCTTTTCATCATTATCCAACAGTGAAAAAAAGAAACAACAGTTAAATGATATTGAAGAAATTATATATCCTTGGCTGGTTCCCTGTGGTTCATCTCCAGACCACTCGTATGTCTGCTATTTCAGCAAGGCTACATAGGGCAATGTGAGAATCAGATTTTGTGTTACTATTATTTTTAATATTTTTGTGTGTGTGGTAAGGGCCAGATTTTGAAAATAAAACTCCAGCTGGGTCTGCTAAGCACATTAAAGAAACCGCCTTCACATTCATCTCTCCTTTGTTCAACTTCCCCAGACACACCTTGTTCTTTTCACAAGTTTCAAATTTATACTTTAAAAAATTAATTTAAATGTCAGTTCTTTTTCAGCACTTCCAACAAGCTGCCCTCTTCATTTGATGTCCTTATATGTTATCAGTGTAGGGAGACCTTTATGTGCACAGGTCGGGGGCAAAAAAAAAGCTTTGAAAACTGTTGTTTTCAAGCTGTAATGATTTCTATCTGACTGCAAATCAGATAGACTGCTGGAGGATAAACTAGAACAAAAATGTCAAACAGTCAAGTAATTAACTTTTAAAATATATTTCAATAGATTTGGTAGAAGTGACAGCCAAGATGTGGTGATAGCTTCAAATAGAAGTTTATGGGAATTATGCAGAATGAAGTAAAATTCAAAGACATTTTCCTTTTCCTAAAACACTTTTTTTCTTCTGCTTTGTGTCTACTTATATCAAAAGGAGGAAAAGTATCTGTGACACTGATCTTCCCATGACCTTTCAAATATTCAAACATATTCAGACATATTCCAACCTATCAAAAGCCATTCTTACAAAGTCAGATATAAAATAGCATGTCTATCATATAATTTCCTTTTTTTCAAATACAAATAGAGCTGGCTCTCTTCACTGGTAGACATCACTTAAAGAACAAAATGAAATCTTTCTTGGGAGTAAATTAGTATCAAATCCCAGGGACTGTATAAGTACTATTGAGCTTATCAAAATGACTGTTTTATAGAAGCAGTGTAACATATGCAAGTATTCAGACTACTCAACATGCAAATGACAGCATATGTAACATACAAAAATATTTATCAAACCAGTTCACACAGATCCAGATGTTATTCTCAGGAAATGCCAAGGAATCTTCAATTCCAGTGTTTGTCCCACCTAAATATCCTCCTTCCAGGATAGATTACCCACCGCTTGCTAACATACCAGGTCATGAGAGAACACAGCTGTCTGTGGGTCTCATATCAATTCAAAGCAAAAATCCTCACACAGAATGGAACCCTTGATAATGCAGATCTTTTCTGTCAGTGTAACATCCCTTCTGTTAGAGAAACAGCTATCTGGAGAAAGGCTGTCTCTGCTTGAAACATGCTAATAACATGCCACTCTGTGAGGGAGGAAGTCAGAACTTCTGTGTCCCTTAGATTGCACTTCAAGAAACGATCCACAATCTCCAGACTGATAAATGGCAACCTTAAGCTTGTGCAACATCTTTTTCCAGGATTGTGTAAGAGGTGCTGGTCTCACTACTATGGTTGTGGCTCTCAAGATTTTGGGAGCTTTTATAAAATTCCTTGGAGTTTGAGCCTATTTATTCATACCAAGGGGAATGCAGAAGATGAGAAGCATTACTCCTAATGCACTTAAAGCTGAGAGCTAGCAGGCACTCAGTTCCAGTTCCCACCGTATCACTGACTCACTGTGTGGGTTTGGGACAGCTCACTGTCCCTTGGCTCCCATTCTGCTCTTTGTGCAGGAAGACTGCAGTGGTTGGATAGAACCTCAGTGAAGTCAATACCTATATATATGCATCTTCAGCAAGAAATGTCCTTAGAAATGTAAAGATAGGACACGAAAGGCTCATTGTGAGGAGGCTTAGTTTGTGACCATGTTAATTCCGGAAGCAAGGAGAGCTGTATAAATCTACAGTTGTATCTAAAAAAGAAAATCCAGAGACTGGTGAAATATAGAAGCAAAGACAACCATGAGCTTTCCACAGGGCTAAATCAGAAACCAGTGAAAGTGGTTATCAATTTCTACAGTGTGTAAGTATATTTTCTGAAGACTGATCATTCAGCTAAATCAGAATTTTATTACATGTAAAATTAAAATAACCCAATTCTTCTAGAAGAACAAAAGGATGTGTTTTGGGTAGGAGCATCCACACCATTTAAACAGTATGATCAAGAAAAGCAGATAAAAGGTTACTTTTAAAATAAGAGCAATAGTCCTAGTTCAGCTGGAAAATAACTGCCACTGGCAATTTTTTGTCAGCTTCTAAAGTTTTCTCTATTGGCCATGAATGATTCTTCATCTTTCCATAACACTAATGAGATTTAGGTGATACCATGTTGCTTCTGTAAGCTCATGCCTGGTACAAGTCATACTTCTCACAGTGGCAAGCAAACTCATGCATACCTTCCTCGTGCTCCGGCTTTTCCTGCACTACTTCTCACTGACTTCGATGACACCCTGCTCAGCATGGAGGTGCAAGATAATAATTTGAGGCAAAAATCTAAGTGCAAAAATTATATGAACACTAGTGACTAGTTAACTCAACTCTGGTGAGCTGTTAGAGCTTTATGAAAAAATTAATGGATCTAATTCAATAACGGAAGGAGGGAAGAGGATATTTGGAGAAAACAACACAAGACCCCCAAAAGTCACAAAAGGAGGAGCAATTGCATACAATGACATACTTCCAGGCCAAAATGACACTACTGTGCCAATGCAGAACTTAAAGAGCTCGTAGAGCACCAAAGAGTTAAAAAAAGTTAAACCCCCAGTCCTAGGAAAGGAGTGGGGTTCAATTGTCAGGCCCTGCATGGAAAGATAGGCTGCCACCTGGGATCTGGAAAAAGAGTCTGAGAAAAGTGAGTGTTCCCCAGTTCCCGAGAATTATGACCCTTAGGCAAAGGTAGGTGTGTATTTAGATTGATTTATTGTTCTGAAGATCTGTTTCCACTTAAACTATTTAGTTCTACAATACTAATACTTTCTGTTAGAGAGGCTGTTCAATCCCTTTATAAAACCATCACTCTCAATTGTATCCAAATACTCAGAAGCAGGACAGATCCTGCTGTCCTGTGAGAGTGGGAGAGTAAGACGGAGGTGGCAAGGGACATGGTGTGCTCTTGAAGTAGCCAGGTACTACAGTTAACTTGGTAAGTGTGATGGGAATGATTTGCACGCTTGCAGTGTGCTGAGCTTCTTTGCTAAACCGATGCTCAAACTATCTCACTTCATACTTTTCAACTGCTTTGCAAGCTCACTTTCTTTAGCAAATTGACTTCGGTTCATTTACTATCAAGCCTTGTCACATCTTATGCCAATTCTGTCTTAAAAGTGAACATATGAGTTTGATAGAAAAGATAATATCAGCTGCATTACCTTTAGCAATTTTTGCCTCTTACTTATTTTGCCAAATAATTTCCTGATTTTGTCTTAACGAGAACATAATCCTAAAAAAAACTAGTCTTCCCATCCTAGACAACCAGAGACTTGATTAACTCTCACTGTAGTAATCTGATGAGCAGAGTTATTACAGCAGTGGACCCAACTTCAGGCCCAGGGCAGATTCTATAAACACTTGTTAAGAATGTTCATCATTTGATTTTCTCTTAATATTAAATTTAGCTAAAGCATTGCTTGCATTATTTCAGAAAGAATATACTTCTAAACAGCTCAACAATAAGTAAGCACGTAGGGAACATACAACAGTGATTCATGGATGAGTTAAAAAAAAAAATCTCCAAGTGAATGAACAGCCAGTCACTTACAGAAACTAAGAATTACAGTCCCAAAATCTGCTACTTAATAAGATTCAGAGAGTCTAACAATTGTTGCCCATAACAAAAGATTCTTATTTCTTATTTCCATCATAATAAAACCTCTTCTCCAGCACTTTCACCTCCTACTACCTCATATTTATTGTGAGGCAAACATATAAAAACTACGATTAAGTTTAAAGACAGTCTGTAAGATAAATAAGCAAGTTACATTTTGGCATGCACACAGGAAAAAG